CACACACACACACACACACACACACACACACACACACACACACACACACACACACACACACACACACACACACGTCGGAACCATCTATTCAGCCCTGGAAGTTTGGCTGGGCTGGGGTGAAACCAGTATACCGGTAAAGGTTTCTGACCTCAAAAGCGATCCATCACATCCTCCATCTCAAAGTGTCAAGTCCTTTTGTTGGAGACAATGGGCAACCAACTGAACTGGGGAGTGGGAGGAAGTATTGGACTTGTCTGATGTAACTGTAGACGCTCGAAGGTGATACTATTTTAGCCATCGTTGTCACCTGAGCACACGATAATTTACCATGAAAGAGTCCCACCAGACAGACGGATGCCTTTTTTTAAAAACCAGAATACATGTTCAAATCTGCTTTTAGTGAAGCTACCGGCTGGAACGAAAAGTTTTTATATTAAATTAGAAAACAGTCAACAGTAATAATTCCACAACTTTGATATCTTTATTTAAGTTTTCTATGTGATAAATGATGGTTTCGTTAAAGGAAGTAATGCAAAACAAAAGCAATGGCTTTAAAGCAAAGACGATGATTCGTTCCATCAGCACCAGGCGACCAGATGGATTTTGTATGTTTTCAGTAAAAAGAAAAAAAAATGGAAACAGTTGAAAAACTGCCTGAAGAAACGGGTGAAAGTCAAGGTTCACAGTGAAAAGAAAGATCAGAGCAAAAGGAGAGTATGGGTTTGGAGGGTATAAAACGTTTCAGGAACATTCATCACTTTATTATAAACAAGCATAAATAGGGAAACTCTCAAAAGGAAAAATAAAAAAAACTGCTGAATCCCAGGGGAACAAGCCTGTGGATCTTCTGGTGCTGGTGACCTTTCAAAATTAATGGCAGCAGATGGCACATGACAAGCTTGAGATGCCAAAAAAAATTAAAAATAAAACAGAAGGTGATCGATGTTTTTAAGTTTGAGGAGTTCTGAGAAGTAAATAAGTTTGTCAAACAGTTGCCTGTGCAAAAAATTTAAATGGACTTGATTGTCAGTTTTCTGCATATTGTTGAGATCTATTTATTTTACTTGTTTATTTTAGCATCCTTGTACTGTATATTCAGTTCTCATTTTGTTTTGATTCATGCACTAAGGGATGAAACAACAAACAAAAAAGTCAGATTTGGGTGTCATTTGGTCACATATGGTACATCTAATAGACACCATAAACCAGGGATATTCAGCTGGCAGCCCAAGGGCCACTTCTGGCCAACAGGTGATTTCAGTCTGGCCTGTTCATGATATATATA